TCTTCTCCAGGGCGATCCAAGCAAGGTGCGGATTGTCAATATGACGTAGATAGACGAAGTCCTGTGCATCGATGGCGGTGGAGAGAGCACTGAGGGCGAGGAGTCGACGTTGTCTGTAGAGCTTCACCCGCTCGTCGTGTTTCTCCTTGCGGAGGATATTCTGGTCAGAGTCTGCAAGTTGGGCTGGTGGGGACGGTTCTACTTCGTCTCCACTGACATAGGACCATAGTCCAATACCGCCCGCCCACATCTTAAAACCTGTCGCCCATTGGGAGTAATTAGAGCCGTCGAGAGTGAGTTTCTCGTGGGGGTACTTCTCGGTTTTTGGGAGAGAGTCCGATGATGTCATAGTGATCGACAGTTAGAGGTGACACTTCGATATTGGTTTGGAACCCGGTAGGAAGTGTGATGGGTGAACGGACGTTCGAGAAGTGCTGATGCGAGAGATGGGGTAATGCCGCTGTCCTTTCAGCCAGGGCTCATAACCTGTTGAGAGACGAGAACTAGAGTACGAGGCTCAGTCACGGTTAAAGGGACTACATTCAATGTAGTACCACGAACCTAGAGTACGAGGCTAATGTATATAGTGAGTATAATGGAATAAGAAAGAGGAAAAATATGATACACACCTCAGTCACGGTTAAAGGGACTGAGGTGCGTTGGCGCGTGTTCGTAGTCTTATATAGAGTTAGAATAGAGTTAGAATACGGTTGAAAACGGAAAGAGAAAATGAGTAAGGTACTGTTACTGTCTTGCATTCATATATGTCAGGACGTCGTGACGTCCTGGGTGCCCTGGTGGTCAGGCGCACTCTCAACAGCGCAGCCAGAGACAAACTAATTGAGCGCTGTATGTATCCATTTGCGCGGCCTGATGTATCCTGATTGAGCATCCGTGATTGACACATCTCGTGGAGATACAATGCTATCTCTAGATTAAGACAGCGCTGAGAGGACACGGAAAAAGAAGTCTCGAACGCACTGTTATGACTGCATGAAGCCTAATTTATTACTCTTCAAACTGTACCAACTGATGTCGTAAAACCTGTTCGACGAGCCTCAACCCCAGGGGTACTTTATTGTACAATAACTCACCTCGGCCACACAGCTGCCAACGCACGGCCCTTTACGCTAAATCAAAAATCCAATGTACAACTTTGTCTTACAACGGTCTCGGTGTGATATGACCTTCTCAATGACTTTCGATGGGCATCAGCAGTCTCTGCTTCGCAGGCCTGAACGTGACAGCACCTCCGGGGCCGTTCAATAAGGTTAGAATGTAAAACAAGGAAAGTCCAAATGAAGCAGAAAACTCGCCTGTACAGCCCCTTCAAACACACCTTCCAATGCCCCTGCTCCTCCGTTTCCTAAGCACATGCCACCACCCATCTTCTAGCCCTTCACCTCGGTCGTTGTCTATTTATAGCATAAGAATGTCATTTAAAGATAAGCACGGAACTGATACAGGGCGCACCGCGCTCGATTTGCATCAATTATCACAGCCTGATTCAAGATCCGTATTTGATGTGTGGAGAATATGTATAACACCATCCAAACAGGAATGAGAGGGCACATGAAGGAAAGAGTGGCCCTCACGCCGCAGAAAGTTTGCAAGCCAGTATAGAAGTTAGAACTGAAGTAACTGCCACAAAGTCATGATCAACTCACCTCCAGCCTGCAAATGCACAACCCTCAACGTTCACCGTTTAATCCCATGCGCTGCTTTCCTCATTTCACCTAGATCTTCACTCCGGGAATTGGTCGCCACATGCACAGTTGTGCACGCCACTTGGAGCAGTACCACCCCTGAACAGCATCCTAGTAAGATCCATCGATTGCACTATATCGGAATTAGCATAGTGCATATTTTCATCAAAGTGGCACTAATAACTCACCACATTGTACATTCTCATTCTTACAATCCTAGTGATAGTAATCGCCGATGTGGCAAATGCCAAAAGATAGTGAGCAGGACTATCAGTTTGCGCTGTTTGATGCACAGTTGGGTTGTGGATAAATATTAGTTTCCAAGCCAGCACAACATGGCAACCGCGACAAATAAGCTGCATGCACCGATATACAGAACTGTCATTGCGGACCAGCGTTGTCTCTGGAATCATGTGTATTTTCATGTACTGACACTCACCCAGATCAGTTCCACCTATCAAGCCATTCTCAGCGAGATGACCGCTGCGGTCATAGCATTGACATACACCCCTTGTCCAAATGTAAGCGCTGAAGATACTAGTAAGATACCGACAGTCTTTTGATGTTATCGTGCTCAACGTCACTATCAAGAACTGCTCGCGATCTTGTCGCCCTGTTTCCGATGTTATTCTCGAAATGTTTTTGATACACGTACATCAGTCTATTGATGCCACCAAGTACTACCTCATCTGTTTAACACATGATGATTATGGTGCGACCATCGAAAAGCCTCTCATCTCATCTCTCCTCGCCTGCCAGCACAGGCCCGTGGAGCATGAAAGCTCATTCAAGTCATTCAACAAATGCACATTGCGTCAGCTGCATGACACCGGATCAGAAAAGTCAGCCGTCAAGAATAGGGAGATTTACACAAAGAAACAAATCCGCATCCTACCCTGGCTACCGAAAGCTCGGAACTCCAACTGACGATCGAGATTCAAGACTTGAGAATTCTTGTAGCATTAGAGCCCTTGCATGCTAACAGATTATACTAAACCGGTTCTGTATGGGTTTTCTTAGTGAAAAATAATCGAAAAGGGATCCTAGGATGCTCACTGTGAATGTAAATCTGCTGTGAAGACATCAGTGAACTCATGGATAAGTTAGAAAGTCATATATAGCAATACATGGTACACAATCGCACACATCAGCATAATTCCGCCATCGATCATTACATTACCATGTTTGACCTTGTAGAGGAAAGGAGGGTTCTCCATTTTCATATATACACTTGCGATGTCGAAGATGCGAGTGAAACTTAGTATATTCCATAGAACGAGGAGGTGTTCACTGAGTGAGCGGCAGCAAATTTGCGTCCTGCTCGTAACTTTGATGCCATCTCCAGGAGGATTCTACGCCGTCTTACACCCCCTCGCAATGTCGAAAATGCGCATGATACCTAGTATCTCCCATAGAATGGAGAGGTGTTCACTGAGTGAGCGGCAGCAAATTTGCGTCCTGCTCGTAACTTTGACGCCATTTCCAGGAACATTCTACGCCGTCTTACACCCCCTCGCGATGTTGAAAATGCGCATGATACCTAGTATCTCCCATAGAACGGGGAGGTGTTCACTGAGTGAGCGGCAGCAAATTTGCGTCCTGCTCGTAACTTTGACGCCATCTCCAGGAGGATTCTACGCCGCCTTACACCCCCTCGCGATGTCGAAAATGCGCATGATACCTAGTATCTCCCATAGAACGGGGAGGTGTTCACTGAGTGAGCGGCAGCAAATTTGCGTCCTGCTCGTAACTTTGATGCCATCTCCTCAAAATTCTTAATGTCCTTCAATTATGGGATGATGGTCCAAGCAGTATCCAAGTTACTATGTTTTCCAGGGGGCAACAATATGTTTACCGGGTGCACAAGAATAAATGTATGTCCTACGGTGGATAACGGTCCTATTTTCTTGTAATAACCAATGTTTGTCCGCTAGATATCATTTGCGAATACGTGCGAAAAAGCTATACTCTTGCATAATAGCCGAGATGCGTGCACCAAGCTAGTGAGTACCAATTTATTGTGAGTATCCCATAACCAGACAGCTGTATTCACTGGCGACACATCTCAAAGAGGTCGTATCACCGCGCAGACCCTGTACTTTCACGGTGTAGTACCTTGGCGCGAAACTTGGTGCACCAAGCTAGTGAGTACCAATTTATTGTGAGTATCCCATAACCAGACAGCTGTATTCACTGGCGACACATCTCAAAGAGGTCGTATCACCGCGCAGACCCTGTACTTTCACGGTGTAGTACCTTGGCGCGAAACTTGAAAGTAGTGAGTAACGGTTCAATTGCGTACCTTACTTAATATTTAACGACGTATTGTGTTACAATTAACATCATTTCTTCACTTGTGACGCATCCAAAAGAGGTCGCATCGTCGCATAGATCCTGCACTTTCACGGTGTAGTACCTTGACGCGAAAGTTGTAAGTGGTGAGCACCGGTTCACTTACACACCTTACTTAGTTATTGCGTCATGATCAGTATCATTCCTTCACTTGCGACGCATCCAAATGAGATCGTAGCGTTGCGCAGACCCTGTACATTTATGGTGTAGTACGTTTGCGTGGGAATCGAACATGGCAAGTAACGGTTCAATTGCGTACCTCACTTAATATTTAACGACGTATTGTGTTACAATTAACATCATTTCTTCACTTGTGCCGCATCCAAAAGAGGTCCCATCGTCACGTAGATCCTGCACTTTCACCGTGTAGAACCTTGACGCGGAAGTTGAAAGTGGTGAGCACCGGTTCACTTACACACCTTACTTAGTTATTGCGTCATGATCAGCATCATTCCTTCAATTGCGACGCATCCAAATGAGATCGTAGCGTTGCGCAGACCCTGTACATTTATGGTGTAGTACGTTTGCGTGGGAATCGAACATAATGAGTAACAGTTCACCTAAGTGCCTTGTTTAACATTTAACAAGGATCTGAGGTATTGCGCCCCACAACAGTACCATTGCGTGATTTTGCGCCATACGAGAGGCATTCTGTATGCGTGCATTCGCATCCTTGATGGCTTAGCTGTTCATTTGACAACGCAACAGTAACTATGGGCGTTGCGCTCTACTTTTGCACTTGATTACTTGTTTTCCTCGATTCAGTCTACCAAATGCACAGTGTGTGCAAGTAATATCATTAAAAGCATCTTTGACATCGCAAGTGTATATATGAAAATGGAGAACCCTCCTTTCCTCTACAAGGTCAAACATGGTACTGTAATGATCGATGTAACTTTCTAACTTATCCATCAGTTCACTGATGCTAGCACCAGACGTGAACTACTCCGAATCGAATCGAGCATCATCCAGTCGCGCCCTCTGCAATGTGAGAGCATTGACGGACATCTTGGCCTTTGCCGTATCACTGAGGTCTGCACGCTGGCTAGTTCCAAATACTTTTCTAATAAATTAGGTTAGTTCAACGAAAGCTGTTGGATTGTGATCAGACATACCTTGTCCACCACGCCAGGAGCCGATCAACGTTGCGCTGCGCGACTCGACCGGGGGGGCGTTCGAAAAAGTCTACAATAATGTACCAGAACTGTATGTAATCAAAGTCGCCGTCTACTGACCGCCATGAGGTCACTGACGACAGTGCGAATCGCAACTGCACGCAGTATATGTTGTTAGCGCTCGGTAAGGACAAGAAAATATCACTGACTTGACAGGATACGTATGCGATCGAGCAAGCTGAGACTTTTTGCATCTTGATGATTTGTGCCACATGAGTTTTGACTTTCCTGCCAGAAAAATCCTTCTTCGCGCGTCTGTTGTTTTCGATGATGTTAGCGCCATCCCCATCGCCGGTTACTTCCTTTGCGGAGGAAGGAGATGTGAAGATAGCTTTGAAGGCCTGCAAGAAATGAGATCTTTGTGAAGCTATTTATATATACCGCACCTGAACCAGCAGCGTGCTTTTGAAGAGGCCCTCCTCGAGATTGTTCTGATCGGCAGTATATCCTGCGTATAGGAACGCTGGCCATGACATTTCCGTTACGACATAGCCATCAACGCGATCCCTAATTCCAGCCCTGACACTAGTGAACAGTCAGTGTCTCACGAGATCCTGAACAGAATGGCTTACATTGGGTCATTCCAGTCTAGCTCTGTTGGGCAGAGTAGTTTGCCGCACGCGTCGTTGGTGAATCCACGGCAGAATTTATCCTCGGGGTCGACTGGAGGATTGGGCTTGAGCTCGCGGTTGACCCAATCAGGGACGAGACTCTTGAGCTTCGAGGTGTCGTCTCCTCGAGCACCGTCGGCGCCCTGTCTAAGCTGAATGATGATTTAGCGCAAGGTGAATCATTGACACCGGCGAATCTCACCTTTTTCAACATGTGTGTGTAATCATCGTGCTCCATGTCCGAAGCTTTTTGATGAAACCATGGGAGGACGTTGTTAAGGACTATGTAGCCGAATTGCAAGCGATCTTGACTGTTAGCAAATTGGTGAGCAACTCTCGTGAGGCGGTGATGAAATACTGACTCAACAGTCATATCGTCGTCGTCGTCCTCGCGATCGCACCGCCGATCGTTCTCGCATATTAAGTCCTCAATGCTGTCAAATAATGTAATTATCCGTCGGATAGCTCGTCCTTGTGACATGATATAGTTTATCTCCCTGAAAAAAATATTGAGCGACCGCACTTGATGATACTAACGATAGCGTTCAAACCTTTTTTTCACCGCCTGTCCTGACTCGAGCACTTGCAACTTCTCCTCCAGGTCAGCAATTTTCCGCCTATGTCGAGCATTATCGGATGTGGGCACTGTGGTTGTAGACGATGCTGAAGCAGGCTGCGAGGCCTGGGACGATGCTGGAGCAGGCTGCGAGGCCTGGGACAATGCTGAAGCAGGCTGCGAGGCCTGGGACAATGCTCCAGACTGCAGGTTCTCCTCCGCCTGGGACATGAGCTTCGAGAACGACTCGGGAGGGGAAGAGAAATAAGGGAGAAGGTAGGAGACTAGGGATAAGTTGGATTTCATGCTTGCTTCCGCTCTATTTAACGGCCATCCAGGATTGATTGGCAAAGACGGCTGCCCAGAACAATATGCGCACCTAAAATGGACACCTGTACATAAATAATGTCAGTATCCTCATATACTGAAAGTGCGGTAGTCGATGGAAATGGTAATTGCATAAAGGATATGCTTACTTCTTGAGTGACGACGTCTAAGTTTGGAATAGTGCAAAGAACTCATTTGTGGTGCTCGCTTCTGCGTTAGCGGTCGGCGTGATACACATTGACAACGCAGCATGATAGTTTGATGTCGATCATGTTCCCGCGTTCCAACCGTCCTGCGTGAGTCACTTTCCGACGCCTTTTTTTTGCCCATTAGTACGATTGAAGGAGAGTAAATACGTCCTGAGTGACCGTGACGATGCGGGTCGTATGATCGTCGGAGAACCCTCCTTTCCTCTACAAGGTCAAACATGGTAAGGTAATGATCGATGGTAGAATTATCCCGATGTTGCGATTGTGTACCATGTATTGCCATATATGACTTTCAGCTCAAGGTGGAGATCTGGCCGCGGCGGGCATAGCACTGGGAAATGCAAGATTGAAGGATAGTAGTAGCTGAGCTGGAAGCCTGGAACGAATCAAGTCCAGTTGATCTCCGACAAAAACGTCGCGTGACCTCGATAAGATAACGATAAGGTTCTCATTCGAGACTCAGTTGAAGCTTTGCGAACCTGGGAGCAACTCATCTCTACCGGCATGACAGCCTTTGTTACACGCAAATGTAATACGAACAATATCTTGGCTTGCAGTGTACCACGAATACTGACTAGTATACGATTGAGTCAGTTAAAGGGTGGTTATAAAAAATGAGAATGTGTGATGGGAGTGAAACAGCTGAACTAACATTGTCGCCTTCAGACTTCTGGGGTGCCATCCACACGGGGGTAGGTAGGACTGGAAGGCTCGTTGTATACGCTAGCGTTCTTGGCTGCTTGTAAACGACGCCAAGCCAGTTGTTGGCGAGATAAAGTCAGGCGTTGGCTGGCTGCTAATCCGCATGCCAACGGCCCTGCAACGGCCTGGGTAACGGGTGGGCCTTCTTCAGCAGACGAGTTATCATACGGTCCAAATTCTTCGTCTGTAACCCATCTGATCGACTGTCCACCATCTGGGTAATGTTCGTGCATCATGGTCTTCCTTTTGGAAAGATTCTTACGGCGCCGATCACCCAATCCCGACGTCTGCAACATCTCAACATACATCTCTGCAATGTTGCAGGCACGTTCGACGTCATACAACCTCTCTCGCAGATCAAATACTTGTGAGTGAAGAGAGTCAATTCGGTTCTGCGAGTCTCGCAGCTGATGCTGGGCCTGTGTCGTGACTCCTAGTCGGAGTTTAGTATTGGCGACAATCAGATCCTGCCGGACTCGTCCTTCATCGCGAGATCGCTGTGCAGGGAAATTGATATTCAACACATATCCGACCGCTGACACTGACAAAACGCACCTTTCTTGGCGTATGCAAATGATCGTCGTTCAGGGTTGCATATTCGAGTCCAATTCGCAAACGATCATGCCTTTGATAACAAACCGGTGAGTAGTTTTTACAAGGCAGAGGTGAAAAACTGACCCGATGATGAGACTCACACTGTGGTCATCGTCATTTTCGTGATCGTTCTCACTTGGTAAGTCTTCGATACTATAGTCAAGTGATGTCATCCGCCTGACGAGTCTAGGTTGTCCTTGGGAATTTTACCCCCTGAAAACGTGAAGGTTAGAGAACCAACCTAGATGCAACGGCGGAAATCATACCTTTTCATCGTGTGGCCTGACTCGGACTCAAGCACTTGCGGCTTCTCCTCTACTACCGTGACTACTAGGTCAGAGATTTGCTGTTTCTGTTGAGTATTCTCAGACGTCGTCACAGCTGTGGACGACGCTGTGATAGGCCGCGAGGTGTCTCCCACCTGGGACGATGTTCCAGGATGGGGGTTGTCTTCCATCAGCATATGAACTTGAGCAACGAGAAAGGAAGAAAAGGATAAATCGAGGCGAAAGTAGATTGACTTCTTGCACCGGCTCCCGCTATCCTTATTCCTACTTAAACACCAGAGCCAGAGCCATGACACATTGACGTTGACGCTTTCCATGTAGAAGCCGCTGGAAATGGTCTGTAATTCTGAACAGGAAGGTAATTTGTGACGTTAGAGCTTAGCGCTTAATCATTTTGGACGCTGACTCCCAACTGGGAAAAGGATTTTTTTCCCATCCCATCAAATCTTCGGGCTGCGGCAACAAAAAATGACTGGCTCGACTAGTACTACTATTCGAAAACGTACCATGGCCAGTGTCATGACCGCCGTCTGGTACGCGGGTTAGGTGATGACATCTTTGTGAAACTTGGACCTGCCAATGAGACCCAAAATCTTATCAACAGGCCGAATTCAGGCCGTGGCGGCAAGTAGTTATGTTTGTAAGCGATTGGAGCTAGTAACGCTTGCAGAGTGAATTGGCGGGTAAGTTAAAATGTCATGTAGTAATAATACCGGCTGATTCTGCCATCGATCATGACTAAGTATACACCTCCTCGTTCTATGGAAGATACTAGGTTTCACGCGCATCTTCGACATCGCAAGTGTATATAAGAAAACGGAGAACTCTCCTTTCCTCTACAAGGCCAAACATAGTAATGTAGGCCGCAGTAAATTTGTGTCCTGCTCATAACTTTGACGGCGTTTCCAGGCGAGTTCTGCACTATCTTATACCGGCGAAGATCATGATGCACTTCTAAGTCAACGAGTCGAAGACGGTATTAACTTGAGTATCAACTACTTGATCAACCTTTTTGGCACATGCCGGACAACATCTGATCAAATATCGACCTTTGATCTCCAACCAAGGAGGAAATGTACCCTAGATACTGATTATATGCCACCTCAACCCCGTTGGTCTGAAAGTTGTCAGCAACTGCGTTGTCCCAGCCTGATTGTGCGTGTTTCCGTAACTCGCCGCGACATGTAGCTGCTGAAAAGGCGAAGGCATGTGTAAAACGGGCCTGCCAGTTACCTGTGTCCGTGCATAGATATTTCGAGTATTTCTTCATTCGTAACACATAATCCAACAGCGCAGTAACAGAAGAGTGTCCCAACGGCGCCTGGACTGATCTGACGTGACCATCCTCCGAAGGCCACTGAGATAAATCATAAAATGTTAGGGACACGTAAATTATGTTTTAGAATCACTTACCTGGATAGCTACATCAAAAGATGAAATATCATCCACCAAATTGTCAATCCTAGCAGCTTGCGATGCTTGCATGTCCGCGTTAGTCATCAACAGTTCGACTAAAGACTGGTGTGATGCAAGTACAATGATCGGAGCCACCTTTTGGAAATCGGAGTGTATGTTCTTCACGGTTCCCTTCAGCTTGCTGACCAGACGCCGACCCTCCTGCGTCGTACTCCATTGCTTAAGGCGCGCTTTTTTGTTTGTTAACAAGTCATAACGATGAATCGGTAGAAGTAAATACCGTCGTCAGGGCCGATCGTGGCGTCAAGTGCCGCAATCGCCATCGTAGCGATTTCATCCACCGTAGGGAAAAGGCCGTTCTCAAATGTCCTCTGTACCATTTCCTTACGTGTCGACTCCTTAAATCTCTTGAGTACATCTGGCATTACGGGATCTAGTTTGCGTTCCTCGCGCGTTCTTGTGGTGCGTGCACGCTTTGCATCACCAAAAGCTGTGAACTTCTCGCTATCACGCTTGTGACTCATGCGAATACTCCTGACGCGACACAGATTTTCGGTTATATTCGCTTGGAATGGGTCAATGGGGGACTCCGAATTATTGGTGTCGGACAAAGGGGGGCAAAAAGGTCGAGAGTCAGATGATGACGGCGCCTGCCAATGCAGCTGTGAGGGGGAGAGCCTGGAGTTTGAGCCTCCATGTTGCGCAGGCACTGACTGTGGTACGGAAGCTTGCCACTGCGGCAGCGAGGGGGGGATCAACCCTGAGTTCAAATCTCCAAATTGCGCCAGCGTTGACTGCCATTGCGGCTGTGAGGGGAAGAGCCCCGATTTTGAGCCTCTGAGTTGGAGCGACATTGGCTGTGGGGCATGCGCCGGCAACTGTGGTAATGAGGGAGAGATTAGCCCTGAGTTCGAGCCTCCAACTTGCGCCAGCGCTGGCTGCCATTGCGGCTGTGAGGGGAGGAGCCCCGAGTTCGAGCCTCCAATTTGAACGGACACTGGCTGTGGGACATGCGCCGGCAACTGTGGTAGTGAAGGGGGAATCAGCCCTGAGTTCGGGCCTCCAAATTGCGCCGGCACTTGCTGCCACTGCGGCAATGGTATAAGCCCTGGGTTAAGCGAGCCTCCCATTTGGGCCAATACTGGCTGTGGTACATGTTCCTGCAACTGCAGCAGTGAGGGAGGGATTGGCCTTGGGGTTGAGCCTCGAATTTGCGCCGGCACTTGCTGCCACTGCGGCGATGAGGAGGGGATGAGCCCTGAGTTCAGTGAGCCTGCTAGTTGAGCCGACACTTGCACCTGCGACTGCGGCAGTGAGGGAGGGATTAGTCCTGAGTTCGAGTTTCCAAATTGCGCTAACATTGGCTGTGACATGGGCGCCTCCGATGAGTCGAAGCTGCCATGGGTACTAGGCGCCTGCCATTGTGGCAACAAATATTCGACGTGATGAAATCCTGAATAAAATTTGAATGCTGTAGAAAAAGCACGACTCGGCCACTAAAAACATACCTTCGTCAGTCTGAGCGCCGCTATCACTGTCTGGCACAGTTGTCAGGTCGAACTCAGGTTGTGGCTGCGGGTGTAGTATCCCGCGAGTTGAAGTTGAGCGATTAAGCCATTGCTGGTGATCAAATTGGGCTTGCCACCATGCCTGGGACTGGGAGTCTTCCATTCTATGATGGTGACTCGCCGTGGTTGTCAGTGGTTGGTTGGAACGATGAAAAAGTCGAAAAAAGAGCAGTCAAGTTGCAGGTGTGATTCGAGACTCGGCGATTTGTCACTGCCACTGGCAAAGGGTTAACTTGAGCTTCTACTAGTAATAGTAGGTTCAACGGTCCGACTCAGCTTTCATCAAGATCTCAGGCTGAGCCTCATGCCAGGTGTGGAAAGACTCGATGCTGATGTTTACTTACCTCATCTAACGGCCTGACCCTAGTATGTGTGGCCAGCCGCCAGACTAGAAAGCACCTGATCGCATCTGAAAACACAGGTCTCGAGACATGCTTGCAGTAATCTCCGTTACCTTGAGGTAGTAGTACTGAGTTTTGGGGTCGATAGTTCAATAGCACCGAATACTAATGCCACCGATTCTAGACTCTGGCGTGAGCGATTACTAGAACTGAAACACGCACCACATTAAGTCATCTGGTTCAATCAGGCCTAGCAATGAGTGCGTCGTCGTTTCGAGCCACTTGGTCGGAAGGATTAAGTTACCAAATAAACCCATACGTTAGTAACGGCGGTTGCGCCCCGATTCCCCGACTCGCTTTGAATTGTGTGCATTTGCTGCACTTCAGTGAGTTCAAAGTTGAATTGGAGGGGCGATTTGGACGTGGGTGTGGACTTCAAGGAGTTTGGACGTTAACGTTCACTCAGTGGCAACGTTCAAAACGAACTTGGTCCGTTTTCGCGCACCGAGTCCCGCGGCGGGGTTCAAATTAACGCCAGGGGCTGCTGCACAGCTTCTTCTGTCGGAAAAATCTAAACCTTGGAAGCCTTCTATATTTAGACATCATTTCGGCACCTTCCAAGGGCATTGCAGCTGCAATTCCAGACCCTTGCATGGAACCTCAGATATTTTTAGCACTTCGAAATAATTTTAAGGTAGGCATCATGCGAAATCATCACATGATGTGACAACAGTGTGACAATCTCATGCAATCAGTTTGCCAGAGGGGCAACAGTGTTTGGAGTTACAGTCATCATAGAATTAGGGAGAGTTACAGTAGTAGACAAGCTATGTAGTGTAATAGTAGGATGTATACAGATTGATAACATATATGGGTAGGACTATGAGACTTGGAGATAACTTAGGCAAGTTTTGAGGGCAAGGTTGTTCATTGTTATTGAATGTGATAAGACTCGTATTTAGGGATGTGCACGGGTAAACCCTGGGGTATCGCAGGTGCCACCTGTACCCTTACCTGGAGATGTACCCATACCCGCACTGAGGGTATGGGTGTAGTGACGGGTACAAGGATATAACACCCAGGGTACCACCCATGGTGGGTATACCCTGAGGGTATAGCATACTATATAATGAAATACGACAAAAAAAGACTATGTAGCTACTCAATGCAGTCCCAACCATCCTCGAGCTCTTGCTCATTAGCATCCTCAACATCAGGTAGGGAACTAATCTTGACAACGTCTTCCGTCTTGACAAGGTTGAGGCGGCTCCAATAACCGAGGCATAGGAGTGCTCGAGTAGACTGAGCCGTCAGATGTGAATGCACGTGAGACAGAAGGAGGCGTCCCTTGCTGAACAGGCATTCGACATTGACTGATGTAGCTGTAAGTGTGATAAAAAACATGTCAGAACGAACCCATAAAGGAGGGCAGGCATGGACTCACCAGGTATTGTTAAGTAGTCTAAGGCCATATGAGAAAGGTGGGGATATACTGCACGGCGCTTGTGCCACCAGGCAATAGGATTGGGGACATCCTCGATATCGGCACTGAGGTAGCGCTTGAGTTCATCCCCCAGGTCAGTTGACTTGGGTGGCACCAGAGCTGGCATATTGTCAAATAAATTCTAAAAGGTCAAGTTGTAGTTAATGAGCTGTGCAAAAATAAAGAAAAACACATATCTCATAAGCCGTAGTATTTGACACCTCAAAATCATCACCATTCTCTTGAATCCCCACCTCAAGGTATGACCGTTCAAACTCATTGCAGACAAGTGTGGCTGCAGTCTCAATCCAGGTGTCCTCCCACCATGTGTTCTTGAAATAGGCCAATTTATGGTGTGGATGCAGTACTGCAGTAATAAATAAACAAAGGTCAGTATCATAATATTATTTAAATCAAAGAAGACTCACCCATAGCAATCCGGTATACCTCAGACTTGTTTGTCAACTGGTAGTACCGGTTGAGGGTTCGTTTTGCAAGGCAAACAGCCACACAGATAGAAGGGGAATATTTCTGGTTGTGTGAGTAGGTGGTGAGTCGCTCATCAATCAAATCCATTGCGGGAATAACCTTTGCAAGGTTCGGCATCCCCCGCGAGAAAAATAAAATCGCGTCCTTGAGAATCTTGAATGTCATGTTTAGTAAGCAGTTTCTAGTGCAGTAAGTGACCCACACCTACCTTCAATACATCCTGCAACTGGCTGACAATCTCCCAATCACTGTCAACAAGCTCAAACTTGCACAATCCTAGGTCACGCCGCTGAGTGACTGTGTCAATCGCTTCCCGATGGACAACAGCATAGTCCAGCATACCGAAGGTCGAGTTCCAGTGGGTGCAAACATCCCGTGGCATATTTGTTGGAGTAATTTGCAGGTTGAGGAGAATTTTACACCAGGCAGGAAGCAAGCTGGTTGTGGAATTGATCAGTTTGGAAGAAAGCTTGCGCAGCTAGAGGGAGCCACCAATATTGAGGTATGCTTGAGTATTTTTCGTCTTACCTTCAAAAGCACTAACTTTATCGGTCAGATATCTCTTTGCAGCTCAATTCATTCATCCTGGTTCAACAGCACTACCTCGTCCACCCAACCATCCTCATTATCTTGCAACTCCTCATCAACATCGGCACTGGCGTCCTCATGCTCAACCTCATTGCTCAGATCAGCAAACTCTGTATCACTCGTATCACTCGCCACATCATCATCTGTTTCTCTTGCAGCCTCGGCCTTTTTCATTACATCAAACTCATGAAGCAGGGACTTGGCGATCAGATTCATGGTGTGCAAGAAGCACTGTGTGTGACTTGCTGGCCCCCCAAAGTCAGGAGGCAAGTCTTCGAGCCTGTCAACCATGATGTTGTTGTTTGAGGCATTATCACATGTTACACTAAGTATCTGTGGAACAAGTTAGCAAGTAAGTTTTTTCTATTAAATGCCTTGTACCTTTTCTGATATTTGTCATATCCCGCGTTCCGGACCCGGACCTATCACACATATCATTTCCGGATATCTGGATCCGGCCGACGTCTATCTATGTCCGGATCCGACCTGCGTCTAACTTCCGTGCCTTATCCCTTTGTATGTTCCTACTCCAGTTAGACTATATCATTTTCTGTACCTCGTTTCATTTCCGCCCTTTATTTTCCTCTGATCTAATCTCCAGGTTCATTTAACTATTTTCCGATAGACTAGTGTTTGACTTTTCTATACGCTCCATCCACCGCTTTGTATAGCTTCGGACTTCGCATCTTAGTAGTATATAAACTCTGTAGAATCTATGTACATCTTTGGTTCAAATATTATCTTAGACTCTGCTCATTCCTTCCTCCATCCAACTTGAGTTATCCTCTCGTCGACCCCCGCTCGTCTTAGGATTGATTCCTATTGACTTGTCACCTCCGCCTCTACCTTTGGTAGTCCTCCGCTGTTTCCTTTCTAGTTCGGACTTCATCCGGATTAGTCTTACCTCTTGTTCCCGAACGTCCGCCGGAATTCCCGTGCATCGGACATCGGACTCTGGACATCGCCCGACGCCCTCCGGACATCGTCCGGTAACCTTTGAATATTGTTTGACAGCCTTCGGAAGTTAGGGGCACGTACTCGGGTAAGGGGTGCAGCGCACGAGCTGAAGCCAAGCCCTTCGGATTTGACCATTGAGCACGTTCTTAACAATATTCCAAACTCTTCTAACATCTTTGCAAATACTGCAGCAAGTTCCGCACCGGTATGGGACTGGTCAAGTCATCATGTCATTGTGTGTGAGCACCTTGTAAGTCTTTCAACATACCTTCGCCACTTTAACAATGTCTAACGGCAGACTCAGTGGGACTCCATTGTGCTCGAGATGGACTGATACCACCATGAAGGCTCTATGGTTGGTGGAAGTCCAAGTGTCTGTAGTAAAACTGATCTTGCCCTCATATTCCTGGTAAGTCAAGTCAGTTTCACACATATTGAGCATTAATTCACTGACTCTCAACATTTTAGCAATGTGTTGTTGAGTGCGCGCAAAAACGAGCTGTACATCATGTGAGATGGTGGTTGGGGAAGGTAAGTAGTATTCTGGTCGGCCTGTTTTCATTAATTATTGAAATCCTCAGTCTTTGACTATCTCGAATGGTCGCAGGCTTTCAGAGACCCAGCACACAAGCTCAGCTCTGTGTCGTGTTAAATTTGTCTGGCTGCATAGTGTCAAAGACTTACTTGGTCTCAGTGCAGGTGTGTTGATGGTTGGAGTATGTCACCTTTCCCTTCCCCTTGTGTTCAAAGGACGCTGTTATTGATCCATCTCGCAGGATTCCCGGAACAATTTTTGTGTGGACCTCGCTGGCATCCTTTGCATCATCAGCAGCTTGCAGTACCACATCACCCCAACATGATTTAACGTGTTTCCGCATATTTCCAGTGGACTGGGCATCTTTTTTGTCCATATACCTTTGGATGGTGGTCTTGCATCCTCGCGCACTACACTTGAACTCATGGGCCCACTGACCATCCTTCTCAATGATGTGCAGCATTGGGTCAAAGAACACATAAACAGGTGAAGTCCATTCTTTCATTAACCATTCTATTTTTTATTAATGAGAATGTTTGCTTGAACAAGGGTGCTCATACTTAGCTCGTCAGCAGCATTCTCAACATCTGGGCTGGACAATCAGCGCTCAGCATCATTGTCATTGTCAACATTGTCATACAAAGCAGCCTCTTCTTCCTTGGTTCGAACAATTTCTTCCAAGTCTTCCGAGGATGGTCCATCACCAGAACCATCTGGCAGGGTAGCTTTTGCCTTTTTGGATTTGATGGCCGCCATGCTTTCTCCACTTGTGTGGTTCTTCCTTTTCTTTGTCAAGGCACCATCAAGCTTCTCCTCGATAGCGGCTTGGGCCTTATCAGTCAATTTGGTGACTCGTTTGACAGTTTTCGAAAGCAAGTTGAGCTGCATGGTGTGTAGGCTGTAGGGAGCACTAACTATCATTCATAAATCTACGTAGTGAGTATAATTAGAGTTTGACAGCTGTACAGTAGCAGAGTTTTAGTTTTTATAAAGTCTATATTCGTTTTCATGTGTCAACCCAAGGCAAGGGTATGGGTAGGGGTACGGGTAGTCTAGGACCAGACCCCCACCCATACCCTGAATGTACCCACACCTGTGACCTGCATAGGTTTTGAAAACCCGTGCATATCCCTAGTGGCAATCAAGTCAATGTCAGTCTCACAAAGACCTCCACCCATATTCCCCGCAGTTCTGGCAATTAAAGAACTTCTTCAAGGGTGTTTCTGTCATGCTCATCCACCGGCCAGGCCTCAAAATATTCAAGTGTTGGTTGCTATTAATGCTGGAAACTTTGAGTTTGAGAATATAACAGTCAAGGTAGGTTTTCATACAAATCACATTCATATTAACAGCTTCTCTCAGTGCAAGTGCAGGACTACTTCAAGAAAGCTTGGGGTTGCCCACTAGACTATTCCAAACATCATTGGCATTCAAGTTGGATCAAAGGATTAGGACAAGGTTACTCCAGCAGAAATGCATGCTATCACACCCAACCGATGTTATACACAAAGACTTCCTCCCAGACTCTCACCAATAATGGTTAATTTTCTTCCAAGAACCCTTGAGATTGCCTGGCACATATCAGCATTGGCATCAATAACTCAATTATGGCCAACCAATGTTCTGTAAGTAACACATTCATCTTTCCATGCATTTGATTGACTGCTTGTACAGGTACTAGACTATTAAAATTATCCCTTCTTGCAAGACATGGGGATCACTGTATCTTCTGACCCTATCCTAGTCACTGGACATGTCCTCCCCATGCTGAAAATCCACTATGACAATGCTGCTGCTAGTAGACCTGTGGTAAGTCCAGGATGTCAGCATGCATGGGGCACAATGATTTGATTCTTGACCTACAGCAACTGTCATGGAATATTATTGATCAGATCCTGTTTGTGCTTGTCCCTTTACATTTGTCTTTGCACTTGTATCTTAGGTGTGTTTTATTTTTTCTAATTCTACGATTTTATATACAATACCCATAGGCAACCCCCATGGGTAACATCAGTGAACTCGTGAGGAAAGTACATAGCAATAAATAACAATATATAGTACATAATCACAAGAAGTAGCGTAATTTTGCTATCAACAATCACATTGTTATGTTTGGCCTCATAGAGGAAAGACGCTTCCGTGATTTTCATATAAACTTTTATGAAATGCCATAACGAAAGGGAGGTTTACAACTCTGAAGCATCAACTAATCGACCCAACAATATAAAGCTTTGCAAAGCTTTATCTAACATAAAATTTATATGGTATCTGTCAGATTGATACTACCTGGAGTAAGTTTAACAGAACTACCTAAAACACCAGATTGTCACCACTCATTGTTTCTTAGCACTCATTTGATGATAAAATTCAATAAAAATCAATTTTATTTATATTTGAATACATATGTAATTACATGATATATAATAAAAAAGAAAGATAGCGGAAAGAGAATGGTGACAAGGAAGAGCCAGGATGGGACCATGAGGGAGGGCCAGCAAGGAACCACGAGGAAGGGCCAGGGAGGAACCATGAGGAAAGACCAGGGAGGGACTACCATGAAGGGCCAGGGAGGAACCGTGAGGAAAGGCCAGGGAGGAACCACCACGAAGGACTAGGGAACCACGAGGAAATCCAAAAGGCCAGGAAGGGACCACCATGAAGGGCCAGGGAGGGACCACCACAAAGGACAAGGGAGGAACCACCACAAAGGACCAGGGAACAACGAGGAAATCCAAAAGGCCAGGAAGGGACCACCATGAAGGGCCAGGGAGGGACCACCACAAAGGACAAGGGAGGAATCTCAAGGAGATTCACCACGCTTGAGAGGGTGGTGGTAGTAGCAGTAAAACGAAGTTGAAAGAAACTTGCGCGAAATTTTCTGTCCTTGCACAAACAATGAACAAATAATGACAAATCAATTTCAACCACTTGCACTGCTCATATGATTTGGGGTTGGTCACATGCATGACCTTAGATGCCATTGTAATTCACGCAATATTTGAATCGATCTATATGATTTCGTAAGTCAAATAAAAATGAGGCAATATGATGTTGCTCAACAAATGGTACCTAATTACACTATCATACCTCACTGGTTGAAACTCTCATAAGAATAGAAATTGGGTTACAAATGCCAACAGTTCTTTCCATGATAAAGTCTTATATTACTAGGTAGTTTAAAACATAAATGAAGGGATATGGTATGAGTCAACAAAAATGACTTAATTATGCAATTTGCACATGGATTGCTGCGATGGCACAATGTCGTGATCTTGTTGTGAACTCCTCATAGGAAACTTAATTTTCAGACATACATTGCTACGTACTGATAAATCAAATTTATCATGGTATACATACCCATAGTTAGCCTAAACAAAATGATATCCTACTGTAGTTCTCACAGCCACCATATCATGGACTCATCAATTCTCTGATGAATATGGGTATTACGGACGCGGGTATGTCAGCAAGTGGCTGAAGATGGTATGCCTGGCTGGCAAAGAACCAGTAACAGCTCTTATTGATGATAGACAAGAGCCCATATTGGAAATCACTCCATCCTTACAATATGTAGATGTAGATGCTTGTAGCCATGTTTGCAATTTTATGAAAATTTTACTGCATTGTATGAAATGGTTTAAACTCTCAAGGACCTTGGAATCACATAATGCTCATTGGAATGAGCTTCCAGATAGGGCTGTTCACCTTACTGTATACGGTATACGGCCATATAGTGTACATCTGTCAACTGTACGAAGTCCCAATGTAACTGTATATTATGGTTGAAAAAAAATGCTGATGGTACAGTACAACATATGGTACGAGTCTCGGCCGCACTGCAGAGCCAATCCCACAACCACACTGTGCAATCATCCAATCCAGTCGCAATGCAAGTCTCATCTGGTGTACTCATTCCTATACCAGAGAATGTATATGCTGAGACATGGTTCAGCTCCCTATACCACTGTGATAATAATGTTAACATCTTACCAGGCTGTTTTGATAGATTGTGGTAATATTGAGTATGATTTGTGATAAGTAATAGTGATCATACCAGCAATATACCGATGAAGAACAACCACCCAGGCATTCATCCTGAAAATGAGGGATCGAAGTTCCGAGCGTGAAAGAGGCCAGATGACAGCCTACTGTGGCCTTGGCTAACAAGCATATCAAGATAACTTCAAACATCCAAATTTAGGAGGATAACAGACAAAGAACAGTCACAGTAAAATGTACCGATGATGCCTAAACCCGTCCAGCAAGCACAAATAATCTGGCAGGCTATGGGTATCTCGGCAACAATAGACAGGTCAGGACCTACCTCGATGGTTGGTAGGAGCCTGTTGAAGAATATGCAGAATATGCCAGCAATGATGCTACACGAAGAGTCGGAAGAGAGTTAGGAAACCATGCAGAAAACATTCTGAACCTTTGGCACATCAATGAAGAACTCTCCAGAATCCATAGAGGGAGACCCCAGAAGAAGAAAGATGGTCATCTAAGTAAGGTAGGCGTCTTGCGGATCCTACGAACATCACGTGATAAAGCATGATTTTGAGTGACAAAACACAGAAAAAAGGTTAACAAATCAACGAGGAAACAAGGACACAATCTGTAATGACAATGGATAGAAAAAGCCTTTGCGAAGATTATGATATTTGCAGAATTTGCAAAAGTGCAGTTGTTAATTAGTTAACTTGATTTCTATGGATTTCCATTTTCCTGATGTCCTAGTGGAGGTCAAAGCTCGTCGACTCCGAAATGCAAGGCTGTCGTGAAGCCGACAGGCTCGTCTGAGGGCCCCGAGTTGGCATGGTTGACAAACCACAGTGGTGAAAATGTCGTGCTGCAGGCCTGAATGCATGGTGGGCATCAAAGCAACAAAGAACAAGCTCGGACACTGCAAAAAATGATGAAAATGTGAGAAGTAAGTTCAAGTAACCAAACTTCGGAAGCTGCAACAGCTCACATCAAACTCGGCACATAGGATCATGTTGCAGATGATGTCTGCAGTGCATCAAGCAAAGCATCCAATGGTGCAGCTTTGAGTATTGTTAGCAAGCCTTTCTCGCGAGTCCCTTTCTCAGGTGCCGAGAACACATACTATTCAATTCAAAGCCCCCTGCCAAAGCCACATCTTTACAAAGTCTAATGTCTGCATTTGTATATGTATTATGCACACTCTACAGTACTACCTACTTACTTATCCTCCTCGCCATTCGCTCGACATCTACCTTACTTTACTTATCCTCTTCGGCATCCGCTCGGCGTAGTTAGCATTGACGTGTCACACTCATGTCACATCATGTGATGTTTGTAGAATCCGCATGACGCCTACCTTAGTTGATTGGAGAAATATTAGCATATAACTGATTATAGATTGTAGTAGACAATTTACCAGTGCTTTGAAGATTTGCATAGTGAGGATCGGGTTCAGAACGACTTGTTTCAAAATAAGATGTATGGCTACTACATGTATCAATTTGTTTGTAGATGATAAACAAACCCGTACTCACCACATTATGGCCATATATGCCCATACAAATACAGCAACATACGGGTCCTTTATACCCCATACCCCGTACCGTCAACTCAAGCTTTAAATAGCCAACAGTACGGATATGGCAATTGTATTACAGCGCCATAGGGTTCCATCGTAGGGGATACGGTGAACAGCCCTACTTCAAGAGCCTTGCCTTAAAATTACAGCTATGGACCTGGAATGGTCTTGGGATCATCTTGTAAGACCCTCCACCTCCATGGTCCATTGAGAATAGCAGATTAAATATTTTTTCTTGATAGTCTCACATACAAGGTGACTACCACTCCTTGCAGCAACCCCCCAATTAATCTCAAGAGGGGTCTTTTTATTTTACCAAGCTCCTTACAGGTAATTGGCAATTGTGACAGTTTAAGTTACCGTGACTGACCTGCACTTCTTTTTCACAGGCTAACTCAAGTCAGAGTCTCACTGGGTCACTCACGCCACACCTCTGGGTAACAGTGTTCATTTAACTTCTTTTCCCACACATTAAGACCCGCCGAATGGAAAGCACCATCCTAGCCCGCCCCGTCAGTATTCCCATTTCAAATTACCATATCAGGCGGTGACATTGGTTTTGGTATTGGAACTGCATGTAGATGCGAACTTCCGGATTGCCATAAGTGAGAAAGCACGAGTCTACCTTTTACTGATATGAATTTATATTATTATCGCAGTTTATGTCATTCAAAAGCGCCTCTGACAGCTTTTCAAACTCAGTTGTCTCCCACTTGCTCGCCAGCCTATACTGAGCATATGGAACAACATGAACTTCCACACTCCTCCAAACTCTACTAGGGGATCTACTCCTGATTCTGAGGACAAGGATGAACTCAGACTACATACTACTGGCCTTTCGCACAGGCTCAAGCAGGATAGCCCCCCTGCTCTTGACAGCACAACGTCGAGTCATTCTCCCTCACGACATATAGACAAATCCCTGAAACGTGCAAGGTCACGGTCACTTGACTCTACATATGATTCATCTGATGATGGTATAACTGAACCTATAACCCCCCCTCCAATACTACGCCAATTATCTCGTTTTGTGAAGCGCGCAAAAACGGACCCCAAGCCCTATCAGAGGGATGTTGCCGACGCAATCGACTCCCTCTTTCTTGAAAATAAATTGTGTCCCGATGATCCTGTGAGTCAGATAGTCCTTAGACGTATTTATCTATGTGTATTCGCGCATTGCTTATTGTCCACTTTCATACTAGGGTGAGCTTGAGCGTGACTTGCAACAACTGTCTCCTCAAGCCGTGGCTCAAGCTGTCGTCACGATGCACGCCAAGGTTGAATTCAGGCGTGTACGTGCTCTGGCAAGAGCTCACGAAATCAATGCGACAGCTCAACGCTTGAGGTTGCTTCATATGGTTCTTGAGGATGAAGGTGAAGTATACGCAAACGCTGCCTCAGAACCTTTGGACACCTCAATTGGAGAAATCTTCAAGTATAAGAAGAATCGGGTCCCAGACAGCATGAGTCAAGGTATCGCCACATATAGCCAAGATGTCATGTCATTCGCTGTCGCAGACTCACATCTGGATCGTTTTGAGGGTACTGCTCGTGTGTCATTTTCTCTAGCTGGAGATGTCCCTGCTGACGAACGCTGACAAGGCATGTTATTGGACAAGTCGAAGTTGCACGGCTCGGCAGAAGCCCGTTTGGTTCATTCAAGACCAAGAGATTCTATCGATGTGGTTGAAGCTCAAGTAATCACTATATTGATCACCTTATGATAGTACTGATCTTGTCTGACAGATAACATAACCATATAATGGAGTCAAGTGTTACAGAAGAACTCGCATTGTTTTTCTTACTGTAATGTTTGGGATCGAAGTGTTGTTGTTTCACTCCGTCCTCTCTGTAATTCTATGCTGTTTCCTATACCAATTCGCCCAGTTTATCATTGATTTTGCAGATAACACAGCAGGACACGCACTGCGATGCTTTCATGCGAGTGCAATACGTGCAGATCATCATCAGTAGGTAGAGTCAAATATGACACTGATAGTTTCATATCATGGCCATCGTTGTCAGTACTATTCCCTGCGATCCGCCAGCACATGCACGCCAGGTTTCGCTTGGGGTATATCTGTGGGTTCGAAGTGCATCAGCGGGTTGGATTGTGCTACAGAATGCTACAGAGTGCTCTGTAGCGCTCTGTAATGAATTACGTTTCCCTGATGCATATTGTTATCGATAACTTGACTCGGAAGGATTCATTTCGATTGGTTCGAAGTGAAAAACTATTCCATAATGAACTTCATGACTGAGAGCTGCAGGGAGATTGCCAAATAAGAAACATTGTACACAAACCAATGGCACGCATTGATGAGTGCACTTCTCTCAAGGGGCCGGCCTCGGGCTGCCGGGGATCTTTAGTACAGCATTAAGACTAATTTGAACAAATGGCGGCAGTAGTGCGGCGGCTGCGTACATACTAAACAAATGCGGTCGAGCTGATCACTTCCTTGCTTTCCTGGATAATGGATGAGTCACTGACAACGAGTTGAAGTGTCTGAGTCAGTACTTGTGCTAGCCAGTACCATGCAAATCTTAGGGACTCTCTGGATTCTACTTCTGTGTTTTTCGATGGTATCTTGCGGAGCTCAAGGTTGCATTTGGGAGCGGGCAACAGACAAACGAGGACTCAATAGGCATCGTGCCTCTTGCAATTTTTCCAAGAGATCCACCATTATTGCAAGCCAGAGGAGACTACAGCGAGCGAAAGATGCAACTCTGGCAAATTTAGCTCCCACCGTGACCCCGTCAACATTGAACACATCGCAAGTGAGTCGCTGATCTGCTTCCCCACCGTAGTGACTGGACTCAAAACTTAACATTCTCGACTTGTTTCAACAGAGAATCTTGCCAGTGAGGCCTTCACAAGTGGCAAGAGTCCATCTTAAACCGATAGCCTCTTGTAAAACCCTAGCAAGGCTTAAGTCTATCACAGCTTGTCGCGGTACATCAAATGATGCCCACGCGAGTCTCGCGGTCTCCAAGTCGCAGCACCCCTTCAACGAGACAGACTTGGAAATGGGACAAAACGATGTTGATATTGCAATGGACTTAGAGGACTTTGGAAACAGTTTTGACGGTGACACGGATGCCACATGTTCGTACTTTGGAGTCACCGCATCTGATATCTACTTATTGACACTTACTATACCAGAAGAACCCATAATATTTTCTAAGAGACGTGTTCCAAGGCAATTCAACGACATGGAGCGTTCGGCTGAGGATCTCGACAATGCTAACGTTCTATCACTTCCACCCCAATCCAGGATTCAACGTGTCATCTTAAAGCTAAGAGATACACTACAGACTGCTTTCGATTCATTTGGACTCTGCCGGATATACCCTCGTCGTCCCTCCTTTGAGCCGGACAAATTCCTTCCCTCCTCGTTACTCTCAAGATCATGTCCGACAGTCGTGCAAGAACCTGACACACCTGCAAAGGTTCTTCCACCACCCTACCCCTTTCCTAATATGTCTGTTTATCGTCTGATGAGCTGGATGAACTCGGGCAGCCACCAAAAATCAGAAGTTGAGGTCCAGCGCCTTGTCAAAGACGTTCTGCAAGCCGACGATTATGACGTCAAGGACCTTGACAGGTTTTCGGTGAAAAGGAGCTTACAAGAATTGGACAGGGATGGAAGTGGTGAGGAAATATCTTTTCCCGACGACTGGGTTGAGACCACTGTCACTATCGACATCCCGACGAAGTCAAGGGAGGAAGGGCCTAAGCCGTACACTATCCCCGGATTTCATTATCGGCCTCTCGTTGAAGTAATACGTGCTGCGTTTGCAGATGTACAAGCGGGTGCATTCCATCTTTTGCCATTTAAGCGGCTATGGAAGGACCCTTTAGACGGCCGTCAGGAGCGAATTTTTGATGAGCTCTACTCTTCTGATGCCTGGCTGCAAGCTCAGGATGAGGTCCAGAGGTTGCCAAAGGAGCCCGGCTGTTCACTAGAACGCGTCATAGCCGGTCTCATGTTCTTTTCTGACGCTACTCACCTGGCAAACTTCGGAACTGCGAAAGCTTGGCCGCTTTACCTTTATTTCGGAAATCTGACGAAATACGCTCGGACTTTGCCTGAATCCGGAGCATGCCACCTAGTAGGCTTTTTACCTTCAGTAAGTCCTCCTAACTATCATGATGAGACATTTATTCTTGTGATTTACATCAACTTTCCTTGTCAGCTTCCTGACAATGTCAAGGATATTCTGAGCGGCCTGTTTCGCATATCGAAGAGCAGCATGGCATCGCTTCACACACACTGCCGCAGGGAGTTGTTCCAAGGATGCTGGGAAATTTTACTCGATGAAGACTTTGTTCATGCATATCGTCACGGCATCATTCTGAGATGTGCTGATGGTGTGCTGCGGAGAATATTTCCCCGAATATTTACGTATTCGGCTGATTATCCAGAGAAGTACTCCATTGCCTTGATTAATACTGTCAGATTACTCATGAGTTGCAGGGTTTTAATTGCGACTATCAAGGATATGGGCTCGTGTGCATGCCCTCGTTGTATTACGCCGAAAAGTTTATTTAGTTCTCTCGGTCTACTGAAAGACATGAAAAGTCGTATGTCCAAACTCCGAGTATACGCTATGGATAGGGTCGTACAGGCGCGTGAATTTATTTACGACTGGGGAAATACTGTAGATGGTGTGAAAATTGAACACACCCTCGGAGAGGGTTCGTGGGTACCTACCGTGGTAAGCATAGATGGTTCCTCGCACCTTATGATCGGATTAAACTCGCTGCTTGTAGAATCGATTTGTCCAAAAGCTTGGACCTCTCGGCCTTGACACGTTCCGCATGCTCGTTGTCGACTTTATGCATGAATGTGAACTGGGCACTTGGAAATCGCTATTCACACACCTTATCCGGCTTCTCTATGCCCTTCCTACAGGAATCCAGCTGGTTGCAACCCTTGACAGCCGGTGCGCAGAGTTCGTACGAAGTGCTGTCGCTTGCTAACCACAGGTCGTCAACTCTCAATCTCACTTAGATTTCGCCAGGTCCCTACGTTCGGTGATGGCGTCATCCGGACGTTTGCAAACAATACCTCCGAAATGAAGAGATTGGCAGCGCGTGATTTCGAAGATATATTACAGGTCTTGTCTGTATTCTTCATTTGTCTGCATTGGGCTCATTGTTATATTCTCTGTCGTCAGTGTGCTATTCCAGTTTTCGAGCAGTTGTTCCCCCCCGAGCATGATCGAGCCATACAATCTCTGCTATATCGATTTGCGCAGTGGCATGCGCTTGCCAAGCTGCGCATTCACTCGGAGTCTACCCTGACGTTTCTCGAAGCGACCTTCAAAAAACTCTCTCAGAAATTGTGGAAGTTTCAACGCGATACCTGTTCCGCCTTCGATACTGTGGAATTACCGAAGGAGAAAGCAGCTCGCCACCGAAAGTTGGCTCAATGCTCTGAAACTAATACCACTCGTTCAGAATCAAGCGGTGCGAGGTTAAAGTCGTTCAACCTTAGCACATACAAATTTCATGCAATGGGCGATTACGTGAGGACCATTAGGCTCTTTGGGAGCACGGATTCTTTCACTACTCAGATAGTACGTATATGATGCATGCTTATTATCTATCTCAAGTTATGTTTGCTTAGGGAGAACTGGCTCACAGAGCTTTAAAGGCGTTTTATCCTCTAACTAACAAATTAGACACCCCGGTGTAGAAACAACTATACAATGAGGAACAAAAGAAGCTCCTGACTGTATCTGTAAAAGTTGTAAGGTCGCGCGCTGCCTAGTCTGCGTTACTTGAGAAGCAAGTGCGTTCGACCCTATAGGGGAAGTGAGTGCAGCAAGGATCTAGAAGTGTGCGCTTAAGCGAAGCGCGAGAAAGCGCAGGAGCGCGCAAGGTACAAAGGCGCGGGAACGCGCGCGCGTATTAGCGCGAAGCGCGGGAAAGTGCGCGCGCGTATGCGGAAATGAGAAACTAAGCTTAAGTAGTGATATAAAGCAAGATAAGAGATATAAGAGTGCAAAATGTAAAGGAATAGCTTTCTACTATATTCTGCTAAGTAGTAAGTGGGTAGTAACTAGTAAGTGAAAAGTAGGAAAAGTAGGTCCAGTGTAGTATGTACTGCTAGCGCTTATATAGCGCGCCTAAGCGCGCTCATGTGGAGCCGAAGCGCTACCAAGTAGGTATGTAAAAATATATATGAGTGAGAAACTATGATAAAAATAAAGGTGGAACTATGCTAATAAAGGAAATGGAAATATACATACTAGGGAGCTTGGTGGACAGTGGATGGATGCATCTGGATGGCTGGCGCTATAGGGCGCGCAAGCGCGGGAACGCGCGCGCGCGTATACATCGTGAAGCGTGGGAATGGTGCGCGCATGGCGCGCGTTGCGTGGGAAAGCTGCGCCTCATATAGAGATAGCTGCGGGTAGCGCACAGAGTAATGCTATGAGTTCGTGCTGTATACTCCTTGGTGAAAATTACCATATCACGCCATGAGAGGCATGATTCTCTACACCGGCGCAGTTGGCCAAGCACGAGCGCAGGCGCCGCGTACTTCGACGGGTGGCAGAAGCAGGAGCCATAGCCTGCGCTAACAACGGATCACCCGCTGATGAAGTTCCCCCTTCGGTATCCTTTAGAACCCATCACGATATCGCGACTAATCAAAGCAGTCCTATTAATCTATTCGCATTCCTTCGCGAACATAACAATGATCCGGCCGTAAAGGTAGAAGTAACATTTCAGTGCAGATGTGCCTTACACTTTTTGACACTGGTTACAGAACTTCATACCAAAGCTTAAGGATCACATCCTTTTCAGGCTGCGGAAGCTCGACATAAGCTATTGCGATCATACTTTCACAGACGAAGAACACAACTCCGTTATTATTCCTAATAACATAATTTACTCAGTTCAAACCATGCGAATTCATCACACTACGTACGACCTCAGACGTGAGTCTGACACCATCAATCCTAGAACTCACGGCGATATCATGGTGCTTTCGGGGGAGACGACGCCTAGTCACCCATACTGGTACGCCCGTGTACTAGGTATCTATCACACGGAAACCTGGCTCAATGATGGCGGCCGGCCTGCAAAGCAACTCCTCGAAATTCTGTGGGTCAGATGGCTGGCTCCATTGCAGAATCATCAATCGGGCATGAATCATGCTCGTCTTCCAAAGCTTGCGTTTGTGGATGAATCTGACTCGGATGCATTTGGGTTTCTCAATCCTTCGCAAGTGATTCGAGGAGCTCACTTAATCCCTGCATTCGCTTCTGGACGCGGTACAAGCTCACTTCGCTTTGGAAAATCATTAGCGCGTGCTGAGGGAGAGTTAGACGACTGGGAAGCGCATTACGTTGGGATGTGAGTGCGAATGTTTCTTGTGGCGCATCGACCCTTAACCTTACAACCAGATTTGTTGACCGGGACATGTTCATCCGTTATACTGATTTAGGTGTCGGATATCCGCTAATGTCCCGGAAGATAATCAGAGACTTTGACCCAGCAATATCAACCAATGCCATGGATATTGTTAACGAAGATGACGGGGACCAGGAAGAGTTCAGTAATGGTACTAGTCATGAAGAATGCGATGATGGACAAGATGAAAGCGATGATGAGTTTAGTGATGAAGAGCTGGAAGATGCAGATGAGAGAGACGAGGAGGATGAGGACACGTTTGACGACCCCCTTTCCTTCTAAATGAAATTCCTTCGTTGAGATCCGAGTCTTTCTTTCACTCGACTAACTACTTATATCCAATGGCAATCCAATGCTATGCATAATTACCGTCACTCTGGGATAGGTTTATTTGTATTTATTTGGTTGCACATCCGTCTTATCGATGTCCAGCCTGGTTGATCTTGCTCAGGCTCCCTACTCATTGACTTGGAAGTGCATCTCCACTATTTGTGGTTGAAGGCATCATGTAAGTTCCCATCGCACTCAAATTTCATGATCGTGACATGAATTCACAGGGCTTTGCACAATGCCCCATGCTAAATCGTTTTCTCAACAACCCTCCTGGAAACGGCGTCAAAGTTACGAGTAGGATGCAAATTTACTGCCACTCACTCCTCCCCGTTCTATGGAAGATACTAGGTTTCCATCTTTGACATCGCAAGTGTATATAAGAAAATGGAGAACCCTCCTTTCCATGTCCGTCTTATCAATGTCTAGCCTGGTTGATCTCGCTCAGGCTCCCTACTCATTGACTTGGAAGTGCATCTCCACTATTTGTGGTTGAAGGCATCATTGTAAGCTCCCATCGCGCTCAGATTTTATGACTGTGACATGAATTTACAGGGCTTTGCACAATGGCCCATGCTAGATCGTTTTCTCAATAACCCTCCTGGAAATGGCGTCAAAGTTACGAGCAGGATGAAAATTTACTGCCGCTCACTCAGTGAACACCTTCCCGTTATATGGAAGATACTAGGTTTCACACGCATCTTTGACATCGCAAGTGTATATAAGAAATGGAGAACCATCCTTTCCTCTACAAGGTCAAACATGGTACTGTAATGATCGATGTAACTTTCTAACTTATCCATCAGTTCACTGATGCTAGCACCAGACGTGAACTACTCCGGAATCGAGCATCATCCAGTCGCGCCCTCTGCAATGTGAGAGCATTGACGGACATCTTGGCCTTTGCCGTATCACTGAGGTCTGCACGCTGGCTAGTTCCAAATACTTTTCTAATAAATTAGGTTAGTTCAACGAAAGCTGTTGGATTGTGATCAGACATACCTTGTCCACCACGCCAGGAGCCGATCAACGTTGCGCTGCGCGACTCGACCGGGGGGGCATTCGAAAAAGTCTACAATAATGTACCAGAACTGTATGTAATCAAAGTCGCCGTCTACTGACCGCCATGAGGTCACTGACGACAGTGCGAATCGCAACTGCACGCAGTATATGTTGTTAGCGCTCGGTAAGGACAAGAAAATATCACTGACCTGGCAGGTGATTCACTGATATCGTGATTTGGACTACAGATAATTGTCAAGTTATGAGGGAGGTTTTGAACGACCTTGCTCGCACACTACCACGGAGGGTTGTTCCATGCATACTCGGAGATGCCTTTCTTCGCATGTGTCAACAATCCGGAGAAGTACATACTTCCATCCCTCAGAGTATGCAAGTGTTACTTACAAATGTACAGGGAACTTCAATCATGATTATTATACTAGTTGAAGCTGCTTGCCGCCGCGGCTTGAATTCGGCCTGTTGATAAGATTTTGGGCCTCAAGTCCACGTTTAACAATTGTGCCAGATGGTGGCAATGATACCAGCCACGGTACGTTTTCAAGTGGTCGAACCAGTCATTTTTTGTCGCTTCAACCTTACTACAGGTTTTGATCATGTTGACGACACATCGCCGCGATGGCAGGTGCCCATATCACAACCAGTCCCAGCGCAATTTGGATGCTCGAACTCAATGTTGAACTGCTACATAGCATAGCAACATGAATTCTTCCAGCCCATGTCGATCGCATGCTAGCTGGAGGGCCAAAGTTGTGGAAGACTTTCTGATTGTCTGCTCACAACCCAGATACGTAGTGATATCTACTATGTCCATCTCCATCTCATAATTGTTGTCGCTGGACGGCTGGCTATCTGGGTTCACATTCATATCGAGTCTATTGGCGCCCCTCTGGATGCTTGTCCCTTGTCGCTCACATTTCATTTGACAATCCAACAGGTGGTTATGATTCAAGCGTACACATAGGTGAAGAGGCATCTAATGTCACTGCTGTCATACTATGGGCCGTTGTGAGTAGCACCAGAAACACTGTAGCTGCAGGACTGATGGAGGAAGATCGGCTCCATTGTAGTTTCTGCAGCCCTTGGCTGGGGTGCGTGTCGCGTTGTCTAATACATTGTTACAAACCTAATAGCTCCCGGGAATCCAGGTATTTTGCATGGGCAGTGACCTCAAAGGCACTCGGAGAGTCCTATTAATCAGCCTATGGCGCAGACACTTTTGGGCAAAAAGGAGTGTTAGCCCTCTGGTCTCTCGTCATCGTGGCATAGTGTGTATCAAATCATGAATCTAACTGAGTATGTCGCCTTACCACCTCGCCTTTCCATCCCTCTGTTTAAATCATCATTCAAGTTTCAAGAGTGTCACTATTCCACTCAGACACCACCGAGGGTTCATGGAACCAGGGACGTTCACTTCTTTAGCGTTGGCAACCAAGGCGGACGAACGCTAGTTATATACATGAAGAAAGGGGTCAGTTGTACGACATCCCAAGACAGGCCTACTGACAATGTGAACAGCTCGACAGTGTCTTCCGTGTCTTAGAACCGGTGGTGGAAAAAATCAATGAAAGGAGCAAGGCACCTACGTCGTTCACTTCTCGCATTGGTATACGGCCTGAACGCGCTGCTAGCTTGATCCTGGTCGCGGTGCCACGATAGGTGGCATGATCTCAACTGGGTGCTCTGGAAGTGAGTCAGAACTTCGCAGAATCCAAAGAAATCTTACAAACTTTCTCAAGCCAATGCGGTCAGATATGGAGCAGCAAGAGGCGAATGGATTCTTAACATCGTGAGTGAGCTTTTCAGTTATGCTGAGAATATCATTTGGCTTATGAAGGATGTTTTTAAGACAGTGGTACTCCCGTCGGGCGAAGTGATCAAGACGCGACAGCGCGCCTGCAAGTCATCGGCAGGTTTTGATCTCACCAAGTTGTTCATATGTGCAGAAGGCACCCTCGGAATTATCACGGAAGGTGGGCGGAGGGTGTCTGTGTGTATTTAGTTACTGATGTTCCTTCGTGGCTTGCCATTCTGCTATAGCTGCGTTGCGTCTAGCCCCCGTTCTGCCGAGCACCATTGCCGTCGCGCAATTCTCTGATATTCGGCATGCAACTAATGCAGTATGTGACATCTTGAACCACGGCGCAGCACTACGTAAGTCAGAAGCCCTTCAGAGGTGCTAAATGCCGAGCGGGTCATATCTGTTCCCCACAGAATGTGTCGAGATCATCGATGAACTTACGATCAAGGCGCTAAACCGATATGGGACGTCTGCGAGAAAGCGGCCAGAGAAAGTTACTCTCTTCTTCAAGTTCCAAGGCTCCTAATGTGATTCAGGAAACGTCACGCTACGTGGAAAGCGTGATTACGAAACATGGTGCGACCGACCGACTGTAGGCTGCTGCTGTCCTCGTTGTCAAGTCTCAAAACACACCGAGTACTGCTCGCGATCGACATCGACCAGTGAAATCTTATCCAAAATTGAAGCCATTCGCTCATCTTTGATGCAATGCCATGCCCAGCCTATCTCGGGAGTTGCTTCTTGAGCCGCATTGCGGCATGATCAATACTGATTGTAATTCATACATATCCATGTCAACAAGCTGAGTTATTCGTTTAAATACAGGAGCCTGAGTTTAATATCATGATATTCCCAATGTCTACAGTTCAGTACCGCTCCCTTGGCAAGTCTGGTATCAAAGTCTCTCCCAATTGTGAGTTTGATGCTAGCGTATAGCATTCACCTTCTATTAATATTAATATTCATTCTTCATAGCTCGGTGCGATGAGCTTCGGTTCCCCGAAATGGGCTGTATGTCATTGTTTCCTATCCCCGACTCGTTAACCACATCCTCAATATCTTGCAGCCCTGGGTCCTTGACGAGCAGCCTTCTATCTACGCGGTTGTTAGTGGGTGATGTCAACATGCTGATTTTTTCTTTTGTAGTTCTTTCTGCCCCGCTCTCGTCTCAGTTCATGGTTTCGTACAGCTGGCACCGCCTGCATAGGCAATAATTTGAATGTGTCAACCCCTGCCCCTTCTATCACATGTATGTTGTCGACTGACGGTGAATTGACTTTAGCTGCGCACAAAGATGCATTTGCAGGACACGGCTACCGACTATCAGGGGTCCTAGCGCCTTTTCACGGCCCGTCGTTTGACTGGGAAAAACTTTCCTGTTTGGTACCCGCGGCCGACAACTTCTGCCCAGGTGATTGGATTCTGCGCCATCTTACACAACTTTCGTTCTCTCTCTAAATCTGTGTCGAAGTTTCAGGGATGAAGGATAAACAAGTAAGTCCCCTCGTGCCACATCTTTGGCGATCAGAGGTTTGATGATCTGTGCAGGCACTATTTGTCGCTCGGCCACGACCAGAATCTGATAAGGCACGCGATAGACATCAGCAGCACAAGCCCTCGCACGGCCAATTTGGCCGGATGTCTCAAAATCAACCGCCTGCGGCCACCCCAACGTCTGCGATGCCTCCCGCTCCTGGCAAGCAGTTGAGACCCATCTCGTTTTGGGCTCATATCATCCTCTTTATCTGCTGTGCATCGCCGTCACGTGCTAATGCCAATGATCCTTAATTCGGCCATGACAGCATCAGCGGGTTGGATTGTGCTACAGAGCGCTCTGTAGCGCTCTGTAATGAATTACGTTTCCCTGATGGCCAATTGATTCATCCTTTTTGTTCGTTTCTCCGTTTCAATCACGCTCGTATTGAATTTTTTACGTGTTCTCTTTACGTGACGTATGTACTACGCATGTCTGCCTTTCTATGTTTTGTCGGTTCTAATCTAATGACAGTACGAGACCCTAATTCAATTTTCGCGCACAACACCCATTCAGCAGACGTTCTTTCTTGTCCGCCCTTGGGACTGTTGTCTCCTCGGGCTGCCTGATTTTTCAGAGCAGCTCGCCTTTGCAAACGAAGGGGAGAGCGTAGGGGCTGTGGTGGTGATCACGTGAGCGTTGATGAAATATCTTCAGGTGGTGCGCATGTCCCACCAAAAATGAAAACAGAGACAGCAAGAGATATATCAGTGCGGCTGGGATTCAAAAGGAGACCATAGGAGACACGGAGATTGAACAATTGGAAAGCGGGTGGCGCTCAGCTGGAGCGCGCACGTGTGGTAGACGCGAATTGCTTCCGCGGGATCAGACGTTCCGTGCTTATATATATTAGAATAGTAGTTCATGATAGTGAGTTCTCTCGCATAAATCACTCACTTGAACTGTCTCTGGCAGCACTCCACTCTTTGCAATTCGGAAATACAAATTTCTCCACTCAATCTATTTGCGTGCTGCTAGTCTTGAAAGAACAACCGGTTCATTCTGCGACCTGGTGTCCACTGCCTCATTCATTTTGGCTAGTCGTGCCTGCCGCGGACGTGACATGACTTGCAATACCAGCTTCACTGAAGATTAATTGATATTGATCTGTAAGTATCGGCGAGAATGATGCTAACTTCTTGACTCTGTCGTTGCACTGGCAGGGTCAGTGCAGGTTCAAATGATGAAGCTTTGAAGCGAAGAGTGAGGGGTTAGGACGAGAGGCCGGTGATTCGAGCAAGGGTTCTGTCGTTACAAAGAAGAGAATTGTCGATGCCTGCAGGCAGGTTATGATTCAATGGTCATTGTTAATCGAATATGCTCCCGCAGGTTCTGCCGAAATTTGTTCCATGTGAACAAAGTTCGTATGATTGAATGGATACTAACTGCTTATACATAGGCCCGACTCAGCGGACCGCGAACGAAGCAGTGGTGCACTGTTCTTGAAGAAGCATATCAAGTTGCACTCTTCAAGTTCTAACTGGCTTACCGATGCTGCATATTTGAACCATGGCTTCGTTCCATCGTCTCTAAGTCCGTCTGAGTCAGGCTGGGGTCGATCGGTCGGTATTAAAGTTCTGGAGCGGTCAAACTATGTCTATTGTAAGTACACAACCGCTTGTGACCTCCTGTGACCGCAATATTTGAGGTGTACTAACAAATAGTTCAAAAGACTAGAACAAACAGTGATCGGACTTCGAAATAAGCTGCAGCAAATCGGCAAATCAAACCGTAACCTATCGTCCACCATAGAGAGGACAACGGAAAACTCTATCAAGACAACTGCCGGCTCGCAGTAACCATTCAGATACTCGAAGAGCGCATCGCACACCACTCGACTAATCCGAACACTCAGATGCAACAATTCTCAATGATGCAAGACAGGATACGTACTCTTGAGACCGATCGCCTTGCTCTCGCTCGGAAAAACCAAGACATCCTTCTCAGCGTCAATAAAGGCACCTCACACCAACATCTCGTCCAAGAACTCGACCGCATGAGGGTATATGCTAGTCGCGTTTGCAGAGACATACAAATGCTCAAGGACAAATGCGCTATGGCTACACAAAGTGGCGAGTCTTCAGGTGTATTATTTCGCTCAAGTTGGACATTTCCTATTCTCTGTACTCTAGCATTTCTGATTGCGCACTACAGATTCTGTCTCTCAAATCGCCCAGCCCAGAGTCCCTACCCCTAGCGATGTTGGTACTTTCTATTTAATCTCACAAAGTACGAATAACAGTATCTTTAGGTTCATCAGCGACGGGTATCTGCTGAAGGTGCTCCCCGACTCCACCCTTCTCGTTTACCACAGCAACAATTTCAACAACAAGCACAACCCTCACGACAAATGCGACCGCAGGTTCAGCACACCCTGCCACCTCATCAGCTGCAGCATGCCCATCAAGCACACGCTCAAAGGAGGGTTTCTGATGGTGTTCAAAATGTACGCCTATTCCCACTGCATTTAGACTTTGAAGTAATCCTCGTATCAGCCTTATGCACCTCCGCAACCCCTTCCTACATTGCAGGGATGGAAGCACTCACCACCGGCACACTCACCACCGGCACACTCACCACCGGCACCAGCACCTCCAATGTTTAGAGCCAGGTCGCCCACAGAATTTGCACACAAGCCTTCTGCTTCAGCCCCGGTTAATACCAATCGCCCTCAGCAACCGCATTTTACCCATCCGCATACACTTACGTCGCAAACTATCTATCGAAATGGAACTGCATCGGCGCCACTCGTGCCTTTCAATTTACACCCCAAGTTGCACACCGTGACGTCGCGTCCTACTCTATTTGTAGATTGTAGATATGACCGGGGAAGACGAGACGGAGCAAGCTGGTGGTAGCCTGGCTGATCAGCCTAGCGGTCTAAAACGCAAGAATTCTGCCATAGATGGTTCAGTAGTGCAGGATATCGAGTGGATCAAGAGACAAAGGACCACAGAGTCAACTCAGTCGCCTGAAGATACGATCGTCAACGTGAATCCTGAGCCCAAACCATCCTCTCCAGACACTGTAATCGGTTCAAAACCAACATCACCAGTCTCACCCTCGCTTCCTGCACTACTTCAAGAAAAGACAGATGCGGCCTCAACGGGTCAAGTGGGCGCCGCAAGCGACGAGGTTTCGATTCCATTCACGCCTTCAGATACTGCAGTTGGTTCCAACCCAACTTCACCAAGCTCCATCACACCGTCGCCTGCTCAGGAACAGACGCCTGGCCCACCGAGTGGGGATAATTTGCGATCTGTTGAAGAATGTGTCTACATGATCTACTAGCCAGATGCTGAAGTAGTCGATGGGTATTTCTGTGGCAGATGCCTGTAAGTCAACCCTCGTTCTGCATGTCGTCAGTCCTGATTGTCTCTCCCAGTGATCGCTATGACAACGGTATGATACCCGAACAACCGGATGCGTTAGTGAACCCAAAGTTTGAAGACCTCTTTATGCATTGTACGCAAGAACATCCCACAATCTGGGAGGACCTCCGTCATAGGAGAGACCTTGAGCCACTAGCGCCACCACCACCCTCGTGACTCCCCTTCCTTCATACCTTATGTTTCTACACTAGTACGTCTTGCGCATATTATTATCTTATGACCACTAGAATTGTGATAATTTTATGCTATGCACATCACGAAATGTCAGCCATATTATGAATACATCTCAGTCTTGATTCGAATTCTAAGCGCCCATGCCACGAGTCAGTTCTACAGTTCGTCATCTTACGCATTGATTATCATGTTGAACACGAGCCAACCTACCGTCGACATTGTGACCGATCGGACCACACACGCTCTTGAGGAGCCACCTGGCGCAATACTTGTCGGCGTGTT